TGCAGCCCCCAGGACCTCCTTGGGTTTGATTGGACAGTTTGGTCCCCCACTCAGAAATGGTTCAGTGTGTTCCAGTGAGTTTTCGCTGTTATTAACTGAAAAGCCAAACGCTTTCTATTTGAATAATACGTTAATCAGGTGTTAGTTCTCAGAGTTTAATAGAAATGTACTATGTTGGATTATAAAGGACCCCTGTGGAGCATGTGGTTTCTGTCAAATTTTAATGGGGTTTTAAGATTGCCTGATCAAAATGCATTCTCTTAATAGGATGTTTGTCTTTCCTTGAGATGTAGAGGTTCCTGATAACAGCTTTGGGAATTGAGATGGCTTTGACTTGAAATAAGAAATGCCTAGGAGACTTGTGCAGTGGATTTATCCCTTGTGGATGAGAGATAATTTTGTCCCCCTTAGTGTCCCTTTGGCTTCTACAAAAGCCAGGAAACCTTATCTTTATAACTGGATTGTACTGGGTCATTTTGTTTATCCTTTAGTAGAGGGGTGTATGACTTGTGACTCTTCCAGCGTTTTGGCCTGCATCTGCCTTCATCCTCACCTTTGGCTTTATGGCTGGGGCCGATGGGTACTCTCAGCCCAAAATCCCAGAAGGGCTGCGTGTTTCCCACCCCTGCTGTGCCACAAGCTCCTGAAGCGCAACTAAGACCAGCAGGAGAGCTCAGAAAGATCCACGTGATATACCGAAAAGAAATAAAGGCTTTACCCAGCATTACCGTGAGGACTTTGCCCTGTTCTGATGCCTTGCAGTCCTTTTGAGCAAGTAATCTCCTGACAGGATTAGGAGAAATAGCAGGGGTCATGAAATGCTGTGAGAAGATGTCATGGGATTTGATGAGGGGTGGCTTGTCATCCAGAATTGCTCATAGCATGGTTGGTGGCTGAGCAGGGGCAGAAAAGGCATATGCAGAGTAAAGGAGATGGGGAAAGTTAATCTGGGCCATCTTGCCTACTCCTTGATGCAGGAGAAAGTTTTCCCCATTACCTGCTACCTGAGGTGCCAGGGATTGACTGGGAACTTAAGCCTGCCCTATGGTCTAGTACCCTTCCCAGCATAGGATGCTGCCTATTGGGTTATCTAGGCCAGTATCACCCGCTCTGAGTGGCAGCACCCTTTCCAGAGAGATTCGTGGCATGAATGGTTGCCTGGTCTCTTTTAATAGGTGCCACTATGGATTCAGCCTGCAAATCCCCATCTCGGTCATAGAATTACTGTCTGCTAAGCTGCATCTTACTCTAGCTCAGATGGTTGGTCTCTTTGGGTCAGTATTGTATACTTGGACTAGTAACAGGAAATATGGTAAGCAGTTGGATTCAGTGCAGCGAAGGGCCACAAGGATAGCAGCCGGATTGCAGGGAAAGTCATATGAGGCGAGACGGAGGGAACTGGGTCTTTTCGAGCTGGAGAAGAGGCGACTCAAAGGGGATCTGTTGGCAACATATAGGTATGTGAGGTGGTGTCACACGGATGTGGGTAGAGACCTGTTCTCCCCTGTGGAGGAGACAGGACCTGTTCCAGTGGAGCAAAGCTCAGGGAACCGAGGTTCAATTTGGATGCCAGGAAGTACTTCCTGACTGTTAGGACCCCCAGGGTGTGGAGTGGGCTTCCATGGGACATATTTGAAGCCCCGTCGGTGAGGGTGTTCAAGGATAGGCTAGACTTGCACATGGTAGGCATGTCATGAGTGGAGCCAGCTGGAGCCAGGGGTCAGCCTGGGGGGCCCCTTCTGACTCACTCTGTTCCTATGCTTCTGTGTTTCTAAGCTTGTCTGCTGCTGTTCTGACATGCCATCAAGATATCTCAGACTTATGGTAACCCTGTGGATAAATGCTTTTCAAAACATCCTGGCCTTGCCAGCCCTGCTCAGCTCTTGCAGCCTCCAGGCTGTGGCTTCCTGGATGGAACTGGTCCGCCTCCTCTCTGGTCTTCCCTTTCTTCTTCTGCCTTTGACTTTCCCCAGCATGATTGTCTTCTCCAGGCAGTCTTGCCTTCTCATGGGGTGCCCAGAGTACAACAGCCTCAGTTTTGCTTGTTTTGCTCACAGGGAAAGCTCTGACTTGATTTAATTGAGAACCCACTTGTTCTTTTTTCTGTCAGTTCAGAGTATTTGCAAAGCTCTCCCCCAATACCATGTTTCAGATGCATCTGTTTCCTTCCTGGCAGCTTTCTTCACTGTCCAGCTTTCATACCCATGCACACTGGTCAAGAACTCGAGAGTGGATAAAGTTGGCCTTGGTTTCCACTGAAACATCCTTATGCTTGATGATCTTTTCTAGTTCTTTCATTGCTGTCCTTCCAAGTCTCAGTTGTCTTCTGATTTCTTGACCACAGTCTCCATTTAGATTGATAATTGAGTGTAGCTGAAGTACAATGTAATCAATCATTATAATATAGGTGAAACATTATGACAAGACCTTTGACTCCTTTCTGGACATTAAATGTTCAAGTGGATCAGGAAGGCTCCACATTGATTAAAGTGTCAAAAGAATTCTTAGGTAAAAACTGCACTCAAATCCTCTAATTATTAAATTTACATATAAATGTGAAATTCAGAATTGGGGGTTTGTTACAAACGTAAATGATTCAGGTTTTGAATTCTCACTCGATGTTGGCATTCCTTTTGGCTAAGCAGGTGTAACCATATGTTGTCTGATTAATAATAATGTTTCGACATATAATTTTATATTGATTGAATATACTTACTAGCTACTTGAATAGGTTCAAAGTGGCACCATTTTCATGAAATTACTGTTCAGAGAACAACTGGGATGTGAATACATAATGTGTTTAATTGTTACCGTGGAAGGCGTACTATATTTGATCTTATCCAAACAAGCTAGCATAGAGTAATTAACTGGGAGGTCTTTAATTAAATCAAATGAAGCTGTGAAGTGAGTCCCTTTAATGCAATTAAGTAGAGCAGAAAAGCATAATGCAAATACAAAGGAACACGGTAAAAAAAAGTTGGAAATAAGGGAACATAATGGCCATGCTTGCATGTCACAACAAGCCATGAATCCTGGCTTACTAAACCATGATGTACATAAGCAGTATGCAAGTGCACATAACTGTTTGCTCCTACTCTGTGCAAGTGGGTAAAAAAACAAAAAACAAAAAACAAAACACCTAGGAAGCTGCAACTAAGAATAACATTCTGTTACATCTAAGCCAGGGACTAGCATTAATTCCAAACAAGCCAGGATTTGTACGCTACATTCCCTGGCTTGAAGCTGGCTTGCAGTCATGGCTTGTTTGGGAACTATTAACCACAGTCCCAGGTTCAGACTATGCTGAATTAGGACTTCCTGGTTCATTCACCTGCTTTTTCACCGTGAACATACACTCTGCTCATGTATTTCAGGGCTGCTGTGACATACAGGCAGTGTTGTTGGGGCTACTGAATGTCTTGGATTCTAATACTCAAGACATCTTCCATCAAGGACATACATCAGGACATCTTATAATTGACAATCAGCCTTAGGGAACCTCCTATGCATGAATTCTGTCCAAAACATGGGACCCAGAATGGAAGTGCTTACCAGTCTTGTGAACTGGCATCCTCAAACATTTTCCGGACAGAGGTTCTTCGAAAGCACCAAAAGCATAGCTACAACCTCAAACAAGTGTTTGTTTTGTTAACTATTTAGCTATTTTGGAAAACTTATTTCTCACATGGTTTTTAGGTGTAATTCTGGTTTGGTTCAGTAGGGTACTTTTTATTCAAGTCAAGTTTTATTGCATTTAGCCACAGGCTATTATAAGATTTACAAAAGAGATAATAAGAAATTAAGAAAATACATTAAGAACAGAAGTTAAAATTGAAAAAAATAATCGAAACTAAAATAAAAACTAGTTTAATTGCTATCAGCAACCACCTTTCATCTAATCTTCATAGCTTCCAATGCAAACAGAGACACTCTATCGGATGCATAAGCATCGCTGTCTAATAACATCAAAGTAATCATCTTAGGTCCCGAGTATGCATATCTTCCGATTTTGGCAGATAAATTCCAGCTAAAAATTTGTCTCTTGGAACTCTATAAAGCAGGCAGGGCAACACATAATGAAGAAGATTCTCTGCTACAAGAGAACCACAAATACATAGACAATGTTCTGTTGGCGTGTGAGAACAATGACCTGCCAAAATGGTTCTTTCCTCGGTTTGAAAGCACAAAGCAGTGAAGGACGTATAAGCTTATAATTCAGGATATTGGCTAATCTGCAGTGAGTAGCAGTGCTCAGATTTGATTAATCTATACCAAGGAGCTGCTTTCGATTTTAAAATTAAAGATCGCTCTAGCATCGCGTCTGAATTGTAGATCTATTTCCTAAGTTGAGCATTATCAGATGAGGACCTCCCCTCCCCCAGAAGATCATCAGATCATCTTTGGAAGATGGCACTGAGAAAATCCGAAGTCTTTAGACACTTGCAGGTGGTCTGTTTGTAACATGTGAAATTGGTACTCAAAGATTTAATCTTTTCCCAACATTTTATGGCCACCAAATATACCTGAAGAGGGAAGTTCCACTTTGGCTCTCCACAAAGAAGCTGAAGGGGTCCTTACTAGTTCCAATATTCCATGTGAGTGCGATAGAGGGAGGGGTTTTGCGTGACGCACATGCCCAGGCACGCACTGTGGGTATTAGAGAACACATGGCACGTTTTTGCCTTCCCATGGGGCATATGGAAGGTGACCCACGTTCAGTGAAGCTGCGTGGGGCTACCCAGTGCCCCTCTGCTTTGGCTTCCGAAGCAGCTGTTTTCAAAATGGACTTCCTTGCGCTATGCAGGGAAGCTTGAAAATATCCCAGAGGTTTTTACTGAAAGGGAGTGTTCATACTTCCAAAGTTCATAGTAGAGTGCCCTCCAACTTCCTTTATTCCCTTCTGTGATAATTTAGGAGTAAAGCAGCATTTTTAATGTTGTGTTTTATATCTGTGGACACTTACTCTCTTCTACCCAACCTGTTGGTTGTGTTCCTTTCAGGTGGCAGAAATGCATGGGGAGCTGATCGAGTTCAACGAAAGGCTGCACCGTGCTCTGATGGCTAAAGACGCTCTCGTGACTCAGATGAGGCAGGAGCTCATTGACCTGAGAGGACCGGTAGGTTTGTGTGTGTCTTAAAATATCACCATTCAATGCTGTCCACTTTCACACTGAAGAGCTGGGAATGGCCTTGGAAGGGTCGATCCTGTGGCTTCCCTATTGTGTGTGTGTGTGGGGAGGGGGGGCATAAGCCTCCCGCACCTCTGTAGCTTCCAGTGCGAAGACAGGTATTCACCAAGTGGTCTGCAGGTTAGAGGGAAAAGAGCAAACGCCCCACTGTGGTTCTTGCTTGCAGCATCAGCACCATATTTTATAGCACATCCCTGGCCCCAGTTGCCTGGCATTTGGTCTCTGCTTCTGCTTCCGTGAGCTGCTGCCAGGCCCTCTTCAGTAGGAGCTATTGCACATCCTCCAGATGAATACCTTGATCCAGGTGATGCTGAGATTGGAGCACCGGTCTCGGTGTTTCTGCATGATCCTGTGGTCTGTTCAGAGTCCACTCGGAGCGGAGCCTTCAGTGTGTTGGCTCCCGCTCTCTGGCATTCCCCACCTGATGGTGCAGGCAGGCGCCAGTGCAGTTTCATTTTCAGTGCCTGCCGAGACAAGCTTATTTAAGCATTTCTTCCCTGACTAACTGGCATGGTTTTATGGGCACAGTCTGGCTCTAAATGTTTTAATTCCCTATTTATAGCATCCTTTGTTCGCCATTTTTTGCTGGATGTAGAGCACTGTATAGATTGTGGGAATAAAGAAGCTGGTGAAACAGGTAGGGGTGGTTGTGTGCAAAAGCTCCGTGATCTAGGAGGCAGGTGCAAGGAGAGCACCAGGAAGGACCAGGGTGGTGGAGATGGATGGCGATCTTGGTGAGGAGTCAGATGGCGTCCAGAACAGGTGGGAGTCAGGGTACGGCTGAAGGTGTTGCAGCCCTGGACACAAATCAGGAGTGCAAAGCATCCACCAGAACGACTTGCTCCCCAGAAAACGCAGCTTCTTGCTGGTTTCCACAGCTGTGAGGGTTCTTAGCCCTGCAAATCCTTGCATGGGGAACCAAGCCGCCTTTTCTGTCATACCACCAGGGGGCCTGTGCTGCTGTGCAGATCCTACCTTGTATTTTGGGGAAGCTCTTACCAGCTTGCAAAGTGATCCACAAACAGGTTCTCAGGTGGAGCAAGCGTGTTAAAAGGTGAGAAGGTTTGGCCTGCAAACAGATTTCTAGATGATCGGTATGGGCACTGAGTGTCAATTTAGTTCAGGCTGTCCTGGAGAGACAAAGAGGATCGGTGGAGAAGAGGTAATTATAGGATTGTTATGGAACATAACGGGGTCGGTGTCCTTTGCAGGCTGTCCTAATGGAGCAATATAACCTAATTAGGTGGCGGAATTCTTTATTACGTGTCTGGCAAGTACATTGGGCCAGACAAGGGTATAACGGAGGTACTGCGAACGATAAATTGGGAGTGAAATCTTAAGGACAGGATGAGCCTAATGGGACATCATATGTTGGAATGGGTAAGCAGAAAAGAGCTCCGTTGAATTTGGTCCTAGTCTAGAAGAAGGCCAAAGAGCAACTTGGGCTTATGTGGCTCAGTTTTGACTTTGCTCTGGCTTGTGAAGTATCACTTCTTTACTATTTTCACACGAGAGAGTCTGGACTGAGTTGGAAAATCCAAATTAGGATCAGTTAGGCGAACTTGGTCGTTTGCTTTCTTCAGACCCAGTAAATCCCATTCTTTGCTGACCAGAGTGTTAGAACTGCGCCTGTAGACATGAATACCTCCAGGTTGGCTGGGCATTGTAGAGAATCTTACAGGAAGTTAACCTTACAGGAGTTCTGTCTTAGGATAGAAATTCCTTCCCGGGCATCTCGTGGCACCACAGATCAGCCTGCAGCACCAAAGCGTAGCACACCGCTAGGATCCATCCTGCAGGCAGCTGATGGGAGGCAACCCCGTAGAGAGAGAAAGGGCAGTTGACTCGGGGCAGGTGGAGGTGTGTGGTGCCGTTTTCCAGTGCCACATCCTCCTGTTGGTGCAGCCTTCATCCACCTAGTGGCCGTTTTGCACTCCAGCTCCCATTATCCTCACCCTCACTGTTGATGTGAGGTGTAGTCCAACAAATCCAGAGGGCACTAAGGTTTGTGAAGGCAGTCTTAGTGCTTCCACCATATAGACCAGTTTTGCTGACCTTCAGGGAACCAAGTCACCTGTCCGAGGGGTCTTTGGGCGTCTGTTTTTCCAAGAGTTCAGCCCTCATTGGGCAGGGGAGGCCAGTCTTCACGCACCAAAAGCTCACACTCATTCCTGAGTGATAAGCCCCCTCCCCACAGTATTATTTTTTTAGTTGCAAAAATATCTTTGAAGCATCAGATGATAAACGCCCAAAGTCTGCAGCTGAAAGCATGCATTTAATAATTTTATTCCCTCTAGCCATCAAAGAACCCTAACATCAAAAGTATTTTTTAAAACATCCAACTTTGGAGAGATGTTGAATAATAAGCACTACGCTTATTCAGAATTTGGAAGGGGTAGGAATGTGACCTGCTTATTTTCCTTTAATGCATCAGAGAGCAAAATGACAAGATAATTAAAAGCTGTTTCAGGTTCCAGATTGTGCTAGACCAGGTTCCAGATTGTGCTAGACCTGGAAATACTGAAAAAAAGTCCCACTGTTGTGTACTAACAATGCTGTGTGTTTTCTTCCAAGCAAACATGCAGAAAAGTATAAGGAAAAGCATCTCATGGTGCTTTCCCCAACCTGCACTTAACCATCCTCTGTGCTGAATTTTTCTGGATGGACTTCTTTTTAAAATGGATTTTCAACAAACGGCCTTTGAGTTCAGGACTACCTTTAAATTTCTAGGTCATAATGAATGCTCCTAAGTGTTTCACAATGTTCTCTCCCAGTTGGTGTGAAAGGCAGGGAATGTTCCCAGCATTGTGGGTGGCCATGTATTCCCTTTGTGAGTGATAAGCAATTTAGTCACTTCTGATTAAGAAAACCACTAGTCCTGAGTGTGGCTTCTCCCAGAAGTGTTTGGACTAGAGTTCCCAGCTAGCCATGGCCAGCTGGCTGGGTCATTCTGGGAGTTATAGTCTAATACATGGGGGGGGGGCAGGATGAGGGGGGCTGAACTGGAGTATTATTTTTGCTATAGGGTAGTTTAACTGAGATGACTGTAAGGTTCAAGGTTGGTGGCAGGTTTGCAGGGAAAGCCGTACGAGGCGAGACTGAGGGAACTGGGTCTCTTCAGCCTAGAGAAGAGGAGACTCAGAGGGGATCTGTTGGTGACATACAGGTATGTGAGGGGATGTCACAAGGAGTTGGGGAGAGACCTGTTCTCCCTGCAGAGGAAGGCGGGACGTGCTCCAACGGAGCAAAGCTCAGGGAACCCAGGTTCCATTTAGATGCCAGGAAGCACTTAATGACAGTTAGGACCCCGAGGGTGTGGAATGGGCTTCCACAGGAGGTCGTTGAGGCCCCATTGGTGCGGGTGTTCAAGGACAGGCTGGACGTACACATGGTGGGCATGTCGTGAGCGGAGCCGGCTGGAACCGGGGGTCAGACTAGATGGCCCAGGAGACCCCTTCTGACTCGCTCTGTTTCTTTGTTTCTAAGATTCTTCTTTGTGGTCTCTCTGCAATCCCACATATGGGTCCTGCAGCTACACAGATCAACCTTTGGAACTTTCTAGTAATGAGCATAAAAATCATCTTGTCAGTGTGATCCCCCCCAGAGTGCAGAATGCATAACGAACAAGTTGTGGCTAACAACTTCTTGCTTGGTTACTTCCAATTTCCTGCTCATTTCTTTCCTGATCCATGTAGTAGTATCAGCAGAATATGGGACTCTGTCTAGGTATAGATCTGAATTTGGTTTTCTTCTTTTTAAACTTCATTCCCTCTTTTCTTTTATGATCCCCCCGTCACCTCTTTTGCTCTTGTCCCCCACTTCTCTCAATGGATTGTACTAATATTCATTTCTATTCTAAAACATCTTGTTTTAACTATTTAAAAGTTTTTATTTGCAGTAACACAAGAGAGAAGCCATAGCTATTTGCAAATAGTATTGTAGTTGCAATTAAAAAGAGAATTAAGATGTACTCTTACACTAGAATGATAAGACGCGTTTACAAGCTGTTTCCAAAGCTGCTGAGAATAGGACAGGGAGGGTGGTGAAAGTTGTGAGGAGCAAAATTCTTTCTCTTGTGTGCCACCGGCCATGTAACAAGATTGGCTTAACTGTCTTTTGAGAAATCCAGTGACGTGACTGAGCGGGAGGGCTGTGAGATTCCTGGTTCCCATGGCATCTCAGCTGCTTCGAGGAAGGTGCTGTTTTTCCACATCCCCTCACTGCCAGTCTCCACTATGAAGTGGATGCAAATTTCTTTCAAGAAAAATGGCACTCAAGGCAGCTTGGCCTGACTATGGGAAGAATTCCCGAGAAAAGTGTTCTGAACACTTCAACATACCATATAGAAACATAGAAACAGAGCAAGTCAGAAGGGGTCTCCCGGGCCATCTAGTCTGACCTCCGGCACTAGCCGGCTCCGCTCATGACATGCCCACCATATGCATGTCTAGCCTATGCTTGAACAATATATGATTGTTTGTTTGTTTATATGAATGTTTGTTTGTTTATTCCAGCTTGTCAAGTCCCATGAACTTGGTATTAATAACCTTATAGCACATATCTAATCTTGCTGCTCATGGTCAGTGATCGGTGAACTGTCACTTGGCTCCATTCAGCTGCACCAGGGTGTCTTTTCAAGCCATTTTTTAAAAATTTGGGCCTGTCCCCGTCTCTTTTCAGGTCAGTGCGCCCTGCAGAGCCAAATGTGTGTGCCTAGAAATCACACTGGATATTAGTTTAATGAGTGCTAGTAAATGAACTGTGCTTTCGCGTCAAGGAAGACGTGCGGCAAGCCAGCCTGTTTGCACAGTGGAGATGTTACCCTGAGTTATTTCTCCCTGCAGTTCCTTTGTGATTGCCGCTACTTATAAATGTTCCCCAATAGGGGGGAAATTGAGGTACAATAATGGGAAATGGGATGTTAGCTT